TTTTTAAAGCCATTTCAATTCCATAGAGTGACACCTTCAAATGCATGCTTCAGGGTCCATTAATACTGTGGGCCTGGCTTTCCGCTAAAGTGAAAAAGATCACATCACCTATGCTTAGATACCTCTAAAAAGTGAGGAAAAAAGAGCAGAAAGGGATAAAAGCACTTATCCTATAAAGTGCATCTAAACCAAAAAAACTTAAGCCCAAATAAACAATTGTGGTGTGTTAGCATGCGCACATTAGTGTTTGTTGATCTAAGACATCCCATTCATTTAAATGGACTGCCAAACTCAACAAAAATGTATTTCTACCAAACATTAGTGTGCTGCAAATTTTGTCTAACGGCAAGGCTTGTTGGGGTGCCATTCAGAATAAATAGCACCATACTGCACTAATGCATGTATTTTGCATTGCTGCACATTAAAACATGCATTGCTGTAACAAAATGATGTAAATGAACTCGTAAATAAAAAGGGTTGTTGTACATGTTGCTGTAATGCAAAATTGTTTCATTCTTTCTCAGTCCAGCTGTGGCAATGTCATCTTTTTCTACATGCTGCTGAGTTGGACTACAAGAAATTATATCAGCTGTTAGTTCTGTTGTGGTTTCCATTTTGTTGGATGGAAACATTATACAGACATGCTGGTTTTTCACTTCTGTGATTGTAATTGCATTACTTGAATAAATTGCATCTTTCCTTTTAACTACTACACTATGAGCGGTTATACTTTTTCCTTATGTGGTGTTTACTGCATGGAGATGTATTTGCCATTCTAGACCTCATTGTTTACAGGAAAGTCTGTACATCATCCGGATCTTTTGAGAGATTTATTTGGGAGTCCTGAATACATCTGTTGGGCTTGATATTTGCTTTATTTGACCAATCCTTTGGGTGGTCAAATTTTCCGGTAAGAGTCTAAGTGATTTGGTGAAAGGTGACGGACTCGTTCTCTCCTTCTGGTCTTTGGCTCACTAAGCACCATTACCACTAGACCCATTACCACTAGACCAGTGTTTCTCAATCTTTTTTCAGTCAAGGCTCCCTTTAAAGTTAAGGACAGTCCCGAGGCACCCTTTAAAATTATGGACAATTATGAAAATTCTAAAATGGGGTGACTCAAGACTATCCATAATTTTAAAAGGGCACCCCATTCCAAAATGTGAAAAACTATTTTAATAGATTTATATAACGCACCAACATCCACACATATAGGACACCCAACATTAGAAGTGATTTATTCATCCAAGGCAAATACACTTTTGCACACTGGTACTGACTAGTATTCCAGTGTTTCTCTTCTCCCTTAATTTTTTTCCCATCACCCCAGCACTGACGGAGAGGGGAAGGGGAGGGTCAAACTAGGGTGCTGTGCAGGCAGCTGACATCCTCCTTATCAACTGATGATGTCATTGGTTATCAGGATGACGGTGGCTAGAAGGCAGTAATGGCGCACAATGAAAACCTTTGGCTTTGTGTAACTAAAAGGCAGGCTTGCTCCACTCGCTGGCTTGCATACAAGTTTTGGGCAATATTTAGACATTTTGCCAAGGCACCCTAGTTGAGAAAGGCTGCACTAGACCATGTGGACTTTTATTTAATGTATAAAATGTATTTAATGTATAATATTGGAATATAATTATTCCACTTTGAAGGGAAGTGGTTTCACCGTTGTGTTGGAGGGGTTGTGGAGAAAAGAGGGACTATGTTGAACATTTGGTGGGAGTGTGTAAAAATTCAGTATTGACAGGAAGTAATTGCTTGTATACAGAAGATTTTGGGAGTGAATATCCAAAAAGATCCATGGATATTTTTATTTTATACTACGGAGGTATCAGTGAAACAGTTTAAAGGTAGTTTATTGTATTATTTAATTAGCGCTGCTAAAGGATTGATCCCTAAACTGTGGAAGGCACAGGACCCTACAAGGATGAGAGAATGGATCAACAGGATAGGATAGAATATATATATATATATATATATATACACAGTGTATATATATATATATATATATATATATATATACAGGATGGAGAAGTTATTCCATATAGATGAAGATAGACTGGAAAAATTTAGAAGGGATTGGAGTAAGTGGGATGCTTTCAAGGCTTCGGAAAAATATTATGAGATAATGGGAGACTTGGAAGTAGAGTTGGAGAAAGAAAATGATTAGATGGGAAAGTTGTATTGGTGAAATAGAACCTATAGCTCTGAATGAGTGATGTAGACAGCCTTAGAGAAGAAATAAGGAAGTTCTTAATGAACAGGGATGAGTACTGGGGAGGGAGGGTATGAGGTTTCATGAATGTTTTGGAATTGGATAATGTTATTGTGATTCATTTTGTATTGAAATAAAATTTATTAAAAGATATCAATAAAAAAATTAATAATTATTTTCACTTTGGTGGGGATTTGGACAGCATTATTCTCCATTTTCAATTATTTACTTAAGCGCTACATTGAGTGTTTTTTGTTTGTCTAGTTCTTTTGTGAGGACTGTATTGGAACATGTCCACGCGCTAAAAGTCTGATGCTGCTGGAGTGTGCATATCCACAGAGTTAATTCAAAGAGTCTACAGGACATGCACAGCAAAGGGATAGATTAGCATGAAGTAAAGAGATAATACTAAAAAAAAAAAAAAATTATTTGATCCTCTTTACTTGTACTTTTTGATCCAAAAAGTATTTTTTTTAGGAGTGTATTTCTACTTTAAGCTGCAGTTATCGTAGTAGATGTACAATGCCAACAGCTCATGTCTTGTACAGTATCAGTGTTTCTTTTTTACATACAGGTAAATGGTAATTTAAAATTACCAGATCCCTGAAATAAAAAAAAAAATGCAATATTAATTTTTGGCCACCAGGGGCACTATTCCACTAAAACAAAAAAAAAAACAAAAAAACTAATTAAAATCCAAATAAAAAAAGCTGTTCCCTATTTTATCTATTTTGCCTGCTATAGCCTGCAGTGTATTTGCTGCTCATTGACTAAAATCCCTATATGACATCAGCATGGTGATGTTTTCTTGTGGTCTGCAAGAAAAAAAAAGTGCATTACATTTTCTAATAATCTAATTTTTTAATAATCAATAAATTGCATAGTAAGCAGTTTGGCGAAAGCTGCTCTTTAACTATGCCAAAGAAGGCCAAAACTTGTCCGACTGTGATATATGTTTGCGCGACGAGGAAAGATCTTAAAGAATTCTGGGACAATGGCGTTTTCATTTTGCATCTGAAAGCACAAATCTTTAACATATATATTAGGCGAGTTTGAAGATAATCTTTTTGATGTAGTGAGGTCCATTAATAATCTAAGAGATTCCAATAAATTGTCTGCCTTATCCTGATGAATCCTCAGCCAGATCAGCGCGTCTAATTACAATATCTCTCAACCCATTAGTTTTTTTCGGCCTTTTATCTCGTTATTGAGAGATAGGATTTAATTACACATTTTAATCACTGTATACTGCGCGCCACATAAAAAAAAAAAAAAAAAGCTACCTACGGTTTTCTACACTGCTCAGGATTATAAACTGGAATTTATTTTTCCATTTATTACTTGAAGCCAGGTGCATTTTTTTTTTTACCTCCCTTTACATTTTTGTTAAGAACAGGTGATACAAATTGCAGCTCAGTGTACGTTCCGGCATAGCGCCTGTTTGCGTGGATAACTGCACTCCTGCACATGCACAGTGATGTCATCCCATGCCAGCCAATGAAGAGTGCCACAGCCCAGCAACTGGAAGAAGTCAGGTTGAAAACGCCAATGAGGGACATCAGACCATTGAAGGAGAGGTGTAGCAGAATTTAGCTCTGCTTTAAATGATGACAAAACTGTATTAATTGGTATTTTATATCTGCCTTGAACAAAGTTGACAGCAAGTAGGTCAATGTAGCCAAAATGCAACAAATATGACTTTTTCAAAAAATTTCACACTTTAGTGCAACCAGGTCCAACTGAAAACATTTCCCCATTTCAAATGCAGACCAATTCATGGCAAAGAGGTAAATTCAGGGGCAATAAAGGAAAAAGCCTTAAAAAATGTAGCCATCAAATCTGAAGGGCTGGCAAGTTAAAATGAATTACATTTTTTGTTCTTTGGTTTATATACATTTTAAAGTAGAGCCAAAGCTCTTTTGGCCCTACTTTCTCCTGTGGGTAAGAGGAGTGCACTTCATTCTGCACTCCTTTGACCTGTTTTCAGCTCACAGCAGGCTAAAGTCCACTGTCAACTGATGTCACTCAACCAGTTCAAGCTCTAGAGAGATCCTGATTTTAATGTCGGGATCCACCCAGATGCCTGCACCAGCAGCTGTCTCAACCTCTCAGCACACCACTGGGAGACTGAGCCAGCCGCTGCTGTCCCTTCCATACCCCAACACTCCAGTGAGCACTGGAGGGAGAGAGCAGAGAGCCAGTAGCTGATAGTCACTGGCTCTCTGATCACTGAAGACCAAGAACTGAGCAAGAAGTGGTCTTTGATCACTCAGTTCTCAGTCTTAGAGGCAGTGAGGGACAGATGCAGCATTGGACCTAGGTGACTATGACTGTTATTTTCAGATCCCAAACTTCACTTTTAAGACTTTTCTACCAAGAAAATAGTTCCTGTGCTCAACGCAGAGTTTTCACAGCTGCTACCTAGAGATTGTTAGTAAGCTATGTAAGAGAGGGAGAAATAAAGTGCTTACAACAACCTCTCTGCACTGGCGCTGTTAGATGGGACAGCAAAGTCAATGTCAATGGTCACAAGTGTTGGGCATGAAGGCTATTCTTTCTTTATAAACTTCAAGGATTTTATTTATTTTCAGTTCTCTGAAGTAGAGTGACTCAGGTAACCTGAGTAATTTCATAGCGCTGCAGAGTTTCTTGGATGACACTAGCAGTAGACCAATTGATTTTGCTCACAGCCTGTGGTTACAGTGTAAATTTCATCTAAGCTCCATTTAATAAAGCACATAAAAGAAGAAAAAATATAACAAAGTCATGATAAAATAATTACCTATGTGTGCACGGACATGAGTCTGGAAACAGTTATAATATTTGTATTTCTTTCGACAGATTCCACATTCATAAGATCCTGAAAATGAAATGAAAAACACGTAAGCAGAATGAAATTACTAGGAGGTTAGACAAGGCATCCTAGAGAGTACATATTATTATAAGAAACCTAGAACATGAGAAACATGGCGGCTGCCATTGCTGAACACCACCTAAAAATGCTAGTTGTCTGGCTGGAATAATTTTTTCTATTGCTTGTGGTGTAAGCCAACAGACAAAAATATTTCTAGTTAATGAGAAAACAAGAGATAATTAGGTTTACTGTATTTGTGCAGACGTCATTGGAATCAACATAAAATCCATTTTTGCACAGTGTTTTCACAGCTGGTATCTAGGGATTGCTAGACATCGCTAACAGGACAGAGGAAGCAATAGAGAGCGTAAAACGGTCTCCAGCTACAGGTAGCAGATGGGATAGTATAAGGAACAGCAAGAGACATTTTACCATGTCAGCTTTGACTACCAACTGAATTATCAACTTTTGTGTCTGTGCTGTGTATATCAACAAGTTTCAATCTATAATTCTCACTCACTAAACTACAAAAAAAAAAAAAAAAGATAATCGATGGATGTTATGGGCAATGCATGTCTTACTCTTTAAACAATGATACACAAGGCCTACTATTACAATACAATTTTCATATACTTACCTGGAGACGATGTGCTGATTCGAGGAGAGATGTTGCGCGGCCGGGCGCCGCCACTCCAAGTTGCCTCCCTGTTCATGGCTGCTGGCGGTCTGTCTGGAGAGTTCTCCCCTAGTGAATTAAACACAGCATCATTTAAATTTTTTTTTTACAAAATGCAGACATTTTTAACCTAATCCATCTGTAAAGTGACCAACGGGGAGTAAGTATACAAGAGGAGTTAAATGCAACCTCAAAGCAAAGCACCATATTCCTCTTTAATCATTCCTTAGCTTCCAATATGCAGAGAGGTCTCTTACACATCGGCAGCAGGTCCTGGGATTGAAAAATGTCCTAGCAGTTGTATCACCCCCTATATACTTATCCGAGTGCTGTGTCAATCCAGCACTGTGGCCATCTGCAGCAGCATTGGTTCTCTTTCCCTGCCTAACAGGCACAGAGACAGCAGCTGGAGCCACTGGCTCCTGCTGCTGTCAATCAAATCCTGTATGGAGGAATGAGGAAGTGTGGGCTGTGTTGTGTGTGTCTATATACGCACATAGCCGGGCTGGAGAGTGAGCCTGCAGGTCTATCATTATGGTAAGCAGCTTCCAATGGTGGCGCACAGAGAAGAGGGGGAGCCGAGAGCGATACCAGGGGACCCTAGAAGAGGAGGTTTAGGGCTGCTCTATGCAATGCTGTTACATAGAGCAGGTAAGTATAACATGTTTATTATTTTAATTCAAAAAGCTTATCCTTTACAACCACTTTAACCAAATAGAAAACAGGGGCACATGTTGAAAGACAGGCTAACATCAGACAATTTAGGCAAGTTATAAAAAAATTATTTTTTAGCTCACAAAAACACTACCGCAATAAATCAAGCTGAGAAAATACTTGTGCTAGTTTTTATAAACAGGGAAGCAAATAATTAAGAAAAACACACACACAAAAAAAATGCACTCCAACTTTTCCCAGGCCTTAATTGTCTCAGTTCAGGCGTAGGAAGTTGGATATCTGAACTTACCAACATTTTGCTGTGCCCGATTCTCACCGATTACCACACAGATCTCAGCAGGCACCTCCTCAGGGCCATCACCAATTTTGGGTTTGACAGGTTTCTTGGTATTCTCTTCCCATGCTACAGTCTGGACCTCCTCCTCGCATTTTTCCTTTTTTACCATCACATCGTTTGTAGTCATTGTCCACAGTCTTTGGATCACGTCAGCCTTTGAGAGCTTTTGCCAGTCCTCCCACCGCACTCTCCTTAGGAAGAAAAATAGCAGCTTGGGATTAAAATTGCTAACGAGAGAAAGGGAAATCATAATGGTTTTACAGTTTTTCTGTGTTCCAAGAAAACACTAAAGATAGTTTTTAGAGCATTATGGAACTTTCTTTAACCACTTCAAGTCCGGACACTAACACCCCCTTCCAGACCAGGCCTATTTTCAGCTCTCAGTGTTATCACAATTTGAATGACAATTGCGCGGTCATGCAACACTGTACCCATATTACTTTTTTAGCATTTTTTTTGAGACAGGTAAAACTTTATTTTGGTGGTATTTATTCACCACTGGGATTTTTATTTTTTTGCTATATAAATTAAAAAGTCCAAAACTGTTGAGAAAAAGTGTACAATTTTGCAAATAAATAATCTTTCTTCACAAATCTTGGCCAGAATGTATTCATTTATCTTTTAGTAAAAAAAAATAACCCAAATTAGTTTATAACCAAAAATTATAATTTTTCAGAAAATGTTTTTAAATTTTAACTTTTTTTTAATATTATTATTTATGGGGTTTTTTACATACCGTCACACTAGAAGTACAGTGTCACCATAGTGACTCTGTATTACTTGTGGGGGGGGGGGGGGGGGGGGGGTGATGAAGAGTTCTTTTTTCACACTGATTGCTCTTACACCCATAAAGGCTGTAAAAGCAATAATTTCTCCTCCTCTCTGGCTGCAGCCATTTGAGAAATACTGTGTGAGCTGTGATTGGTCACAGCTTGTCACATGGTACAAGGTTGTTGTGAATAGCCTTGTACCATGTGACCTCTGTGATCATTCACAGATTTCACAAGTAGTAAGCAATGATGCCAGGAAGTGACATCTTGTTTACTACTATTCATGTGATCACTGATTGGCCAATCAGTGATCACATGAATCGGGACCTCACACAGAGGTCCGTACAGCTATCTGTGTTCCGTGGTGTCCAGAGGAGCGCGCACAGGCGATGGATGCGGGGGGACATTTAGAAACATCCACCCGTATCGGCAGAGCAGAAGTGGTTAAATATGTATATGTACATGGGGAAGGCACATTTGCTCATCATATAAGAAGGGTCTGTTTCCTGAGGCATGTTTATGACTTTTGTCACTATGTTTTCTGTGATCCAGTGCAGCCAGAAACTAGACAAAACCTCCCAGGGTCCCCAAGAGCGTACTTCCTTAACCCCTTGACGCCGATTGCACGCAAATATGCGGCCTCTCGGCGTCTGGGCCTGGACGCCGAGCAGCTTCATATTTGCGTGAAATTAGAAATTACATATGTGCTGAGAGGGCGCGCCCTGCGCACTCCCAGCTCATATGTCCGAGAGTCCCGGAAAGGTCCCTATCTCTCCATTCGATCGGGACCTTTTCCGATCATGTGACCGCCTGCCTGGTCAAGCTATGTCCTTAGCTAGGGGCAGTACGGGTACATGTGGAGTCCTCTGAAACTGGCTTATTTTGGACAGGAACCCAACATATTTTTTTTGGTCCAATCCAAACTGTTGGCACTATACAAATCCTGTATAATAATAATAATAAGAATAAGAATAATAAGAAGAATAATCTCTTAGCTTACTGAGTCTTTGGTATCTGCAGGTGTCTTCTAAACCATAAATATCCAGCATTACCCCATGTCATACATTTAGCCTGGATGTTTTGATAACGCCGGTAAAGTTAGCTGTGTAAACTCACGTTAAAAATCTGAAATTTCAGCTTTTTTTTAGCATTTTTGCATTAGCGTTTAGCTGCATTTTGCCATGTTTTCCCACGTTTTTACCTTTTTTTAATAATTTTTAGTTATAAACTAATTTGGGTTCTTTCTTTTTTTTTTGTTAATAAAAAGATAGCTGAATACATTTTGGCCACGATTTATGAAAAAAGATTATTTATTTGCAACACTTTTTTTTTTTTCAAAATGTTTGGACTTTTTCATTTATATAGCAAAAAAAATAAAAATCCCAATGGTGAATAAATACCACCAAAATAAAGTTTTATCTGTCTCAAAAAATGCTAAAAAATTCATATGGGTACAGCGTTGCATGACCGCGCAATTGTCATTCAAAGTATGACAGCTTTTTTTTTTAGCATTTTTACATTAGCGTTTAGCTGCATTTTGCCACGTTTTCACCTTTTTTTTTACAAAAAAATATTTTTTTTGGGTGAAAAAAAAGTCCAAAAACGCCGGTTTGCGCGTTTTACCACATTTTTTAGCGTTAGAGCGTTTTTACAGCTAAAAAACTTCCCTAGAGACCCACTAGTCCTGGGTTTTTTTTTCCAGCCAAAAAAAGTTGCTTACAGTCTATGTGTACATGGACACATAGGATAAGATGCTGGAGGGTTTACTAGCTGTAGAAAAAAAAAACGTCAAAAGCCAAAAACAGGAGCTGTAAAAACGTCCAGTGTGCATTAGGGCTTACCGTTCCCTCTCAATATGTCTACCGGTTCTGCCTGACTGACCGAATACAATATTTTGTATGTGGCTGAGATCCCAGCAGATATTAGGGCGGCTGAGCGAATATCATGAAATACAGACAAGTCTACAAAATAAAAGCCTGCGCATGTAAAAACAGTAACAGAAATATGGTACACCAAGCATAACACTGAAATCTACATGGATATTACCAACACTAAGTCCTCATGCACACTGGATGTTTTTACAGCGGCTGTTTTTGGCTTTTGACATTTTTTTCTACAGCTAGTAAACTCCCCAGCATGTTATCCTATGTGTCCATGCACACTTAGACTGTAATCAACGTTTTTTTGGCTGGAAAAAAAAACCCAGGACTAGTGGGTTTCTAGAGAAGTTTTTTTAGCTGTAAAAATGCTCTAATGCTGCAAAACACAGTAAAAAGCCACAAACCGGCGTTTTTAGATTTTTTTTGACTCAAAAAAATTTTTTCCAGTAAAAAAACAACGCTAAAAAACACAAACGCAAAAAAAATCTGCTAAACGCTAATGCAAAAATGCTAAAAAGCTCCCGTTTTTAAGGTGACTATACACAGCTAACGTTACCCGCCTTACTAAAACACCCCAGTGTGCATGGAGCCTAAAAAACACTGTAAGGTCCTCTTTAACCACTTCCCCTCTGGCCCATGTACATAAACGGCCAGAAGGGAGCAGTGCAGGAGCGGGTGGCCATTTATAAACATCCTCCCACTTCCCTGCCTATGCATGCTCCCTGAGAGAGAGCAGCACCGCAATCCAGTGCCCGCTGTGTCCTCTGGACACCGATCATTGTACGGGACCTCTGTGTAAGGTCCCGATTCATGTGATCACTGATTGGCCAATCAGTGATCACATGAATAGTAGTAAGCAAGATGTCAATCTGACATCATTGCTTACTACGTGAGAAATCTGTGAATGATCACAGAGATCACATGGTACAAGGCTATTCACAACAGCCTTGTACCATGTGACAAGCTGTGACCAATCAGAGCTCGCACAGTATTTCTCAGTGGTTGCAGGACTGCAGCCAGAGAGAAGGAGAAATTATTGCTTTTACAGCCTTTATGGGTGTAAGAGCAATCAGTGTAAAAAAAGAAAAAAGAACTCTTCATCACCCCCCCCCCCCCCACAAGTAGTACAGAGTCACTATGGTGACACTGTACTTCTAGGGTGACGGTATGTAAAAAAACCCCATAAATAATAATAATATAAAAAAAAAAAAAAACATTTTCTGAAAAATTATCATTTTTGGTTATAAACTAATTTGGGTTATTTTCTTTTTACTAAAAAGATAAATGAATACATTCTGGCCAAGATTTATGAAAAATAAAAAAATCTTCATCACCCCCCACAAGCAGTACAGTGTCACTATGGTGACACTGCACTGCTAAGGGTGACAGTATGTTAAAAAAAAATAAACATAAATAATAAAATTAAAAACATTTTTTGAAAAATTATAATTTTTAGTTATAAATGAATTTGGGTTCTATTTTTTTTTTTTTTTATAAAAAGATAGCTGAATAAATTTTGGCCACGATTTATGAAGAAAGATTATTTATTTGCAACACTTTATTTTCAAAATGTTTGGACTTTTTTCATTTATATAGCAAAAAAAAAAAAATCCCAGTGGTGAAAAAATACCACCAAAATAAAGTTTTATCTGTCTCAAAAAATGCAAAAAAATTCATATGGGTTCAGTGTTGCGCAATTGTCATTCAAAGTGTGATAGCACTGAAAGCTGAAAATTGGCCTGGACAGGGAAGGGGGTGAAAGTGTCCGGAATTGAAGTGGTTAATTTATCAGAAGTTCAATTTTAATGGGAGCAGTAAGGCATCATCATAAAAAAAAATGGAAATACATTTGTAAAATAAACCAAACTAAAAATTCACTAAACAAGTGTACTTTTAAAGATCACAAACCTAGAGATATCTAATAATATTTTTCCCAGGCACAAAAAACTAAGCAAAGCATTTACTCAACCTATATATAACAAAGCCTGCTAAATCTCTATACATCCCATAAGGCTCGTTTCATTAAAGGTCCCGCCTAAAAACCCAATACCAATCCTTTACATAATGCAATATTCTGACACGGTTCACGTTGCAGCTGATGGAAAATTTTCAAGAGCCAAAGGGAATTTTCCACGGATGTATATTTCTGTCGATTTCATTTTTTTCCATTACTATAAATTACTACATGTCAAAAGGCAAAAGGAGGGGAAAAAACTGCACAAACAAGCAGCAGGAAAATTTGTATGAAACATTTTTGCATAGCTGAAAGCCAACAAGAAAAATTGTTAAGAAAATAATATGCAAACAACTGAAACTTGTACACGACATATTGGGTTCAGAATTTTGTAGAAATGCAAGAGGCTATAATCCTGTTTAAAGCGAGCAGATCTTTGTAAAAATAGAATGTAAATCAGGGCTTGAAATGTGTTGATCCGAGAAAATATTCTTCAAAAGGGTAAACCCCAGATTTTATATAAATTAAGAACATGTTTTAAAACCAAGAAGAAAATCAATTTTTTATGTCTATGAAATTTAAAGCAGGGTATCTTTTTCTGTCTCAGTGCAGAAAAGGTAAAACATTTTTCCAAAATTCTACTTTTGTCGGAGACTCCAATAAGGAGATTTATAAAAATATTTTTTTTAAAAATATATTCTTCAGATTTTTTTAACATATACAAAAAGTAATTTTAACATATATGTTTACATATATTTGTAAATGCATTCCAAAAATGCAGATTTGTATTTTTAAAGACATACAGTATACCGTATTTTTTGCTCCATAAGACGCACTTTTTTCCCCCCAAAAAAGGGGGGGAAATGTCAGTGCGTCTTATGGAGCGAATATAAAGCGGCAGGTCCGGTATTTCTGCCGCCACCATGTCAGAATACCGGGCCGGCCGCTCAGCTGTTCTCTCCTGCAAGGCCTTACCTGTTCCTCGCTCCAGCGCTGTACAGTCTTCCCGCGCTGGCTTCTGTGACAGCCGGGTGCCCACTGCGCATGCGCTGCGCTTTGTGAATGATCCGGTGTCTTCTGGGACACATGACAGGTCCCAGAAGGCACCGGGCCATTCACAAAGCGCAGCACTTTTC